CAGCCAGGAGGACCGGCGCGCGCAGATCAAGGCCTTCAACACCGACCCGGACTACAAGCTGTTCCTGCTGAGCACGCGCGCCGGCGGGCAGGGCATCAACCTCGTCGCCGCCGACACGGTCATTCTGTTCGACTCGGACTGGAACCCGCAGCAGGACCTGCAGGCCCAGGACCGCGCCCACCGCATCGGCCAGACCAAGCCCGTCATCGTGTACCGGCTCGCCACCAAGGGCACCGTCGAGCAGACCCTGCTCGAGAAGGCGGACTCGAAGCGCCGCCTCGAGCGTCTGGTCATCCAGAAGGGCAAGTTCCGGAGTCTGCTGGATTCGTCTGCCTCGGCCACCGCCGGGCTGACGCAGTCCGAGATCGAGGATCTGCGCAAGGCCCTCGGCGAGGACGAGTACGAGCGCTTCGATCTGGGGACCGGCACCGATGCCTCCGCCATCCTTTCGCAGGCCGATCTGGATGTGCTCACTGACCGCAGTGAGGAGGCCTACGCCCGCGCCGAGAAGGGGTTGGACGCCCGTGGTCGCGCGTTCATGGCGGTCGAGACTAAGCGGGATGGTAGTGGCTTGATGGAGCAGCTTGTCACCAAGTAATTCTCCTAAATCTTCCGCCTTGGTGTTTGGCTTCTTTTGCGTCGTCGGAGTTGGTTGGAGATTTACATGTGTATGTATGTATATGTATATATATGTGTGTGTGTGTGTGCGTGTGTGTGTCTGTGTGTCTGTGTGTGTGTGTGCGTTTTCAGCGCGTCTTCAAGCGTGGTGCTCTGCCTGGTTTGGGATGGGCGATGGATGGGCTTAAAAATAGACGAGGTGGCGTAATCATTTGGGAAAGGGAGGGAATATTTGTTTTCATTGGGTCTTCTTTAGAGGGAGTCTTGTTTGGGATATGGTACTGTGAGTTACTGTACATGTATGCGTTTTAAAGTATTGAGTGAGAACAGCCTAGGTCTTTCGAGTTATAACTCAAAATCTTATCGATATAGTATCTGTGTGGTATGTTGTAACAATAAAATATTACTTCTCATTTCTATCAAAGCTAACAAACAGGTCTATAGTTTCTAATATCGAGAATTACATAGTCTAAAACGAACAAAACTTATACTAAGGGTATAATATCTAGTTAGAACTAGTGAATTAGTGCAGCGACATGGAATCAGCAGCTGGTTTTTGAGCTGTCTATGTATGTGTATCACAGGCCCTGGTTGGGAAGCTGGAACTTGGACTTGCAAAAGTAAGAGAAAGGCAAAGTGGAACAAAGTTCAAACATCCATTTATGCGCCTGAGCTCCTCGCCCAAAAGATATGAAAACTAAAATGTGACAGACGAATTGGCTATACAGTGCCCAGCGTGGTGACGAGACTCGAAAGGGGGGCAGAAAACAAAGTCCCGCACCAATAGCAGCAAGGTAGAAGATTATATTCAAAGAACGAAGAGAAGAAACACAGCTGAAAAAGGGGGATAACGCCGAGTGACAACAAACAGATAGACAGACTACCGGGAGACTTTCTGCTCCTCGATCTGCTGCCGTAAGTCGGCGAGCACCTCCTTCCGCTGCGCCAGGTGCGTCTTCAGACCCTCGACCTGCTCGCCCACGGCGTTGACGTCCTCCCGCAGCCGCTCGGTGTCCTGGCCGTCCTTGGTGCGGCCGGCGCCCTCGCGGAGCTCGCGCAGTTCCCGCTCCTTGAACTCCAGCAGCTGCAGGGCCTCCTTCTTGATGAGCACCCAGTTGGGGCGGCCGTCGTTGCGGGGCCGGTCGCGATCGCGGCGGCCCTCCGACGCCTTGCGCGCCGCGTCCAGCTTGGCCTCCAGCTCCGCCAGCTCGCGCCGCAGCCGCACCTTCTCCCACTCCTCGTCCTGGATGGTGTCGCTGAAGTCCGTGCCCTTGGGCGTGTACGAGGTCTTGCCCCCGGCGCCGAGGCGGCTCAGGTACGTGTCGCCGAACTTGGCTTTCCGGCCGGTCGCGGTTTCAGTGGTGTTGTCGCCGTTGGCGCCGCCGCCCCATTTTTGGGCGGGCCGCACGTTGTCCAGCTGGTAGTCGATCTTGTTGTTCTCGAACGAGGCGCGCAGCGAGGCCGGGATGGTGCGCGGGATGCGGAAGCCCTCGTGGCGGTAGTTCAGGATGTGCAGGAATGCAAGGGTGGCGTCTTTGTTGATCGCGGGGGAGGCGGACGGGTTGACGAGGTTCCATGCCGAGCGGATGTCCGTGTCCGGCACGTCTAGGGAGTCATACAGACCCTGTAATGATTCGACTAATTTGTCCCGGGGAAGTCATGTTAGGGGTTCGTGAAACAAAGAATTGCGAGCGCTCTCAACGGTGGATAAGGCAGGGAGGGATGGGAGAAGGAAGAGCATCATGTGGAGCTTCGATCATTAAGTTGGGGCGACGTACATGTGATTTCACCGCGGTGGTTCTTGTTTGCAAGATAGATCTCCTCGTATTTGGACTTGTCCGCCGGGTTCATGTACCATTCGAAGCCATCCTTGAGACCCGGGGTGTCGTCTTCATCCTCTATCCGTTCGAATTGTTCCGGACGGTCGCTTAGTGCTCGCGTTGCTTGGACTAGATGGGCTTTGGATTCGGGAACGAGCCAGTCGGGTAAGACATTAGGTACGCTTTGCAGTTCCTTTGGAGAGATGAAATCACATCAGCAGGGAGTATGTGGTTGTGGTTTATGAGCGTCAGGGGGTGGTGGTGTGGAGAGTAGTCGCGGGTGAAGTGTATGCGGCCGGCGGCCCTCGGGGAGGGGGGTCTCCCCCGTACGGGGAAAGCCACCGCAGCAACAGATGCGATGGAGAGGGAGGGAGCTCACATACCCCGTTTACAAGGTCAAAGATCAATCGCATGGCAACACAGAACTCTTCAAAGTCCAGCTCGCCATCTCCGTCGACATCAGCCAGATCCCAAACCTTCTCGAGTTGGTCATCGCGAAGCCGGCTGTTCCTCAATACGGAGGCGGCCTGGGAGTTGTTTAGGCGCGGCTGGCCGCCTGCAAGCGATGCGAAGATCTCCCAATATCGTTCGATTTCCCATTGCTCAATCTTCTTATTTGACATGGTGATTGAAGGAGTATGTACTCAGGGGATTGGTGAGTAAGAATGAATGTAACACGCAAGCTGAGCAAGCAAGCGACAAGAGAATGACGTGAATGAGCGAAAGGGAGTGAGTGAGTTGAGTTGGATGATGTTTGGTCGTTTCTCCGAGTCGGGTGTCCCGCAGTGGCTCGAACCATGGGGGTTGACCCGGAACAAGTTAGTTCCGTTCGGAGCATAGAAGTACAGTACAGTAGATGTAGATGTAGATGTAGTTGGTTCACTGGACAGTAACGTTATCAGCTCATTCAATTCTCAAATACATTGCTCATGCTCTATAATGTTTATGTACTTGTACCCGAATCATGACTCCACACAAGAAGGTGAACATATAAGAGCCCCATTCCAAGGCCCCGAACCATAACAACCAGGAAAACACCCTCGAGCACCTTTTAGATATCAGAATCCCTTCTCTCCGCGATAGCCCCCCCTCCCCCCCACTCATGCATCCTTTTCCTTGGGAGGACTCTGGTCCTTATCTCCTTGATCATGCGAGCTTAATTGTTCCTGCACCTGCACGATAGCCCTTTCTGCTTCCAGAGCCAGGTCTGGTGCGTCGAGAATTGTTGCCAGTTTCTTCGCATCGCTCATGCGGAGTAATAGTTTATCGTCACTCCTCTCCACGTCCTCCACCATCTCAGAATGGGGCTTGTCCACCTCTGTGCTCTCCAGTGCATACGAAACTCGTTTAGCGTAGAGCTTCTCTAGCGCAGGGTAGGATATGGGGTTCAGGAGGTCTTTCTCCAGGAGGAACTCTAGATGCTTGGATCCATTGAGGGCTAGAGGCTGATTAGCTTATGATTTGTGGCGTCTGCAGGGATGGGGGGAAGCCGACCTCGCCAATGCGACCATCCGCGGTACACCAGGTAGAAGAACGGAATATTAGGTATGCTGCATGTAAAATCATTAGCCCAGAACCAATACAACTCTGAAAGGGTAGAGGGATACATACACCGGAAGGAGCCCAACTGGGATTGTGAGTGGTGTCGCAAGGAAGCTCCACCACATCCGTTTGCGATGCAAGTCTTGCCTCTCGGTCGCGATGGCTTGTAAGAGGGAGTGAAGCTTCTCCGATCGGACTGCATTGCCGGGGAAGAGTACATCCACTTTCTTTGTCCCGTAGGTCTTGTCAATGCGCTGCTGAGAGCTCAGCGAGGGGATACTCTTGAGACCCCATTCTTGGTAGGGAATTCGTTGTTGCACCCGATTGCCCCAGGAGACCAGGTGCTTCTTCCAGCCTTTATCTGCCTCCTCCCACTTAGCCCATGTCTCTGCCGCCTTGTTGGTGATTTTGTCAACAATTGTGCGCTCCTTGGACAATTCTTGGCCGACGGGCCGAGCGTAGATAAGAGCTCGTCGCGTCGATATGGGAACAATGAAGATTCGCATAGCAATGACTGTATTTTTGCAGGCGTTGTGTGATTTGCGATTGACGTGTCCGAAAAACGAGCAAACGCTGGGAAGCGTACAAAGGATTGCTTTGTGTTTTTGTAGTGAGCTGACAGGGAGCTTGACTATCGATGGCTGAAAGGAAATGGCCGATGAGACGCAGTGGGTGACAGTCGCATACCTCAATGAGTCCACCGAGAGGATTATTTATGGGAGAGAGGCAGTGTTGGGAATTGGCGGGATTGCTAGTAATGGGGGTGAGCTGATTGTTGGCCACCGCAAATGGTCCTGGTGATGGTGATGGTCGTGATGGTTGAATCCGCCTCCGCCTCCGCTGCCGCGGTGCTCGTCACTGGAGCAGGTGCAGGGCCGACGTCATTCCGCTCCCGGCGAGACTATTACAGTACGGAGTAGTTACGAGCAGGAACCATCACTAAAATCTAGTTATTCACGAGGTCTCGGGCACTAAAAACTGGAGCGCTCCGATTCATGGTTCCTTTGCCGAACCAGCCCCCTCTCACCTCCCCCCCCCCCAAGGGCGAGCGCTTCTTTCTCTCCCCACCACCCACCACCTCTTTATACATCACACGGTGGGTGTTGTCTATTTTCTTTCTCAGCGGATGTTTCTATTCTTTTAGCGAGAAAACGGGTGTCTCAATTGCAGAGCTAAGGCGCTGTGCCCGCTAGGAGTTCCGAGGAACATTGGGGCGATGCAGACTGGACCCGCCGTCTTCCCCCTGCTTCCGACAATCCGACGCAACTTTGCCTGGGACAGTCGCTGAAATTTAAGGCAATGGCCCACGATGTGCGCGACAGCTACTTTTTGCAGCCACCAGATTCAGGCTCGGTTCCGGACGAACAGCTGTCGGAACAACCTTCCACCACGGAATGGATGTCGGCGCAGTCCAACCCTTCCGTTGGCGCAGTAAACAGCGACCATGACCTCGGTCACAATGAGGATGCGGTAGACCAGTCTGCGGGGACTTCGCGCTCACCAGAGAGTACTGTGGTGGGAGACACTGAATTTGGTCCAATAATGGGAAGGAAACCAAGAACATTGCCAGGTAACTTGAGCATGGATCCTTCTACTCTCCTCCCCTAATGCAGTCCTTGCTGACTTTGCACCTTCGTCTCGTGTAGCCTGGATCCGCTCGGTAGAGTATCCTGAAGAAGATAACGACGTTCCTGCCACGGCTAGCCTTATTCCCTCGCAACCCGACGACGCCGTTGTGGCGCAGCATAATCACTCCCCTTATGCGACAAGACCGAACCGCCCGAGCCGAGCCGACGATGAGGATGATGAAGAGCAAGGGGGCCCTTCCCGACGCGAGTCTCGCTGGAAGAACTTCTCGAAGGTGATCGCATATCCTCGTGAGCCGGGCGTGGAAGAGAAGTCTGTAACCCCAGAATGGTTGAACGAGAACCTTGGCGATTTCTCGCAGCCGTGGCGAGGACAACTCGCTCCAGATGAGGATACCGAGGACCCGCTGAGGATGAAGCGACGCCGGCAGATCTGGTTCAAGCGCTTTCATAATACTCTTCTCAGGAGTCCTATGGTTCCTCTTATCTTCAGACTTACCGTATGGTGCTTCTCGCTTACTGCCCTGGCACTAGGGGGCTCGATCCAGCATCTATCGGGTCAATATAAACATCCACAGGGCCCATCCGCGCTCATGGCCATCATTGTTGACGCGGTGGCTCTCGTATATCTGATCTATATCACCTTTGACGAATATACCTCGAAGCCGCTGGGCCTCCGGTCTGCATCCGCCAAAGCACGGCTGATCCTGTTGGATATCTTCTTTATTGTTTTCGACTCGGCCAATCTAAGTTTAGCATTCGAATCCTTGTCCACTGTTCAGGGTGCATGCACGTTGAATGAAGTCAATCAAGAGATCACACCAAAGAATGACGCAATATGCGACCGACAAATAGCTCTCGCGTGTGTTCTCTTGATTGCGCTTCTGGCCTGGCTTACAACATTTGCGATCAGTGTGCTCAGGTAGGCCAGCTTCTACCCCCATAACGTTTTTCTTCGAATGCTGATTATTCTAATTTTCCTGATAGACTTGTCGAACGTGTGGCTTCTTGAAGCACTTGGCAGGGGTTTGGTTCTCCTAGCAACTTTCCTTACCTTTCTTTCTCCATTATTCACCTATACCCACCTTTTCTTCCTTTCTTCTTGTCTACTTCGGGTCGCTGCTCCTCATGCCCATGTTTTTACCTGATAACATTCTATTCTTTCCCTGTTGGTGTTGTTTCCCCTGGTTTGGTCATCTGTCAATTGGGTTAGGCGAGGCGTTTATATGTGGCATGCTGTGCGAAGGCCCTGGCTTTGATACCGATAATATATGCATTACGGCCGATTTACTCGTCAATGGTAGATGTACATATACTGCTAAGCCACGTGCTCACGCTGGGTTCAGACTACACGTGCAAAACCGGTCCATCTTTGCCGTATAAGGGATCTCCATGGAACCAATCCAATCGCTGAATATTCTTCGTAACCCTGTCTGCCTCGGATTGTTCGCCGTAGCACATATCCCACTGTTTTTGAGTCGGATAGGCACCGACCATCTTGAAAGGTCCTTCGTCCGTGCCCAGCTCGTCCAGGAGTCGATGGCCCACACCGGCGGGTACTATGATCAGGTCCCCTCGTTCGACGGTTGGTTCGAAGCACTCGGGATTGTCTTCTCCACCAAAACAAAGGCGTGCACGGCCGGAAACCACTCCTAAAACCTCGTGGGTGGTGCTGTGGAAGTGCGTTTGGCGATACATAGAATAGACCCACTGCGACGTGACCTCGCCTACATCCTCGAAATGTGCTGCAAGGTCGCTAGCCGACGCGTCGAATGCTTTGTGGTAGATCATGAGTGGCTTCGACTGTATGGATGTATTCGGAAGACCCTGCCACTGAGGGATCTGGCGGTAGGTCACTTGGACGTCAGTGAGCGGCTTAAATGACATGATTGCGCCGGACTTCTGGTGTGGCACGCGATAAGTGATGCGCGAGTTCGGCTGGTGCGGAGGGTGTCTTCCTGATTAAAAAGGGCGACCGGCATTCAATTTGAGCTAGACATGACGTCATTCGTAGCGCACGAAGTGGCAGTCTCTCCTGATACTACCAGTACTCAGTAGCAAACATGTTCGCCTGCGACAACAATGGTCATTGTCCTGTCTCGGAAGGGCAGAGGCGTTTGAGCATGGCGCTCATGAACAACAATCTGCCCAGAGAGCTTAAAATTTAGGCATGCTACAATGCAGCCAACTCATTCGGATGGGGTTCCACGTCCCACCCTAGGCAAGCATGCCATGTCGGGGTGCCTGATGTGGGTTTCCGTCAGAGTAAAGTAGCCGCATGAACAAACGAGGAGTTTTCAACAGTAGAAAATCGATCTTCCTGGTCATCTTCCTGACAGTTTTTTTCAAAAAGTCAGTTCACTCGATCAGGCAGTGGGCATAGTTACCGCGGGCTTAAGATTCACTTCTAGTCAGCCAGTAGATCGCCAGGGAGATTATTTCGATAGAGCTGCCTGACCGCTTACCGGAACCGGACCTTCTCCTCTCCCCCCCCCCAACCCCCACGGCACTCATCGCCCAACGCCACGCCTTTTCTGGCTTGCTTCTCCATCCCCGATCTCTCCTCCAGCTTGAGGCGCGTCTCGTTTACTCCCCCCATTTCTTTGACTCTAGGGACTTGCAGGTTGTGGTCTTACTTCTTTGTCTCCCCCAACCTATCATATTTTTCTAGACATTCTTTCTCCTCTCAGATCAACTAGGAGAGCCATTATTCGTCTCGCCGTCTCCGTCACCGCTGCCTTAACCGCCCACCGCTGAGTGAGGTCATCCACTGTCCTTATCGCTTGCAACGTTTGGTAAGGCTCACGTATACCTGATCTCATGGGCATCTTTGCTTGTTACACGGCATTTTCCTTTCTTCATGTTGCGGTCTCCTGCAGCAACATGTTCCCGTCGCCCCCCGGAAGCTTTCTATGAGGCTATATTAGTCCTACCAGGCTAATGTTCACACGCATCTTCCACAGACCCGCGCTCAAGGCTCGAACCTGGGCGATCAAACACAAGATGCCGGCTTTTTTCCCTCAAACACCCCACAAGGATGATCTCGATGAGACGTTAGTTTTCCCAGGTCCAGTTTCTTATCCGCAAGGTCGGCTGTCGAGGCGACTGCTTCCGGGCCACCGGCTGACTCAGGTAGATGGACGTTCTTGGAGAAGGGCATCGACAGTGTGATGCTCAAACTAGAGGAAGGAGTTGACATGAAAACTGTATGTTCCTCGACACTCTTGTCATCTTGGACTGGTTTATGTTACTTGTCGCGCCGCTGACCTCTCTTCACGCGGGCTTAGTACATGGCCCTTTACACGTATGGTTTGACCTCAAGGCGCTCACTCCACCAAGAATACTCACGGGTTTGAATCTAGAGCGGTCCACAACTTTTGCACATCACAGAAAGCCGTTGGTAGTGGCAGCGGTTTACAAGCTCATCGCGGCGGTCAGTCTTTTCGTCCCTTCTACCCTCCGGCCAAGATCTATGTGGGTCAGCGCTACAACGTATATTGACATCACCGCTGCAGCCCATCTCCTCGGGGAGGAACTCTACAAACTACTAGGTGAATACCTCTCACGTCACTTGGACGCTGTGTATAGAGAATCCGAGAGCCATGCGGAGGAGGCGTTGTTGGGGTTCTATATTCGCGAATGGCTTCGCTACACCACTGCCGCCAAGTACATCAACCATCTCTTCCGTTACCTAAACAGACACTGGGTCAAACGCGAGATCGACGAGGGAAAGAAGAATGTCTACGATGTTTACACGCTGCACCTGGTGAAATGGAAGGACGACTTCTTCATGAAGGTTCATGAGAAGGTTATGGAGGCTGTACTGAACCTGGTCGAAAAGCAGCGTAACGGCGAGACTATTGAGCAGTCACAGATCAAGAGCATCGTCGATTCGTTCGTTTCCCTGGGCCTTGACGAGACTGACAGCACCAGGTCAACGCTCGAGGTTTACCGCTACCACTTCGAGAAGCCATTTATCTCCGCCACCAGAGTTTACTACGAAAACGAGTCGCGGCAATTTGTTACCGAGAACAGCGTGGTCGAGTACATGAAGAAAGCAGAAGCCCGTCTGGAGGAAGAAAAGGCTCGTGTCGGCTTGTACTTGCACCCGGACATTTCGAAACATCTGACCGACACTTGTCTGGATGTGCTGGTCACAGCTCACTCTGAACTCCTCCGAGATGAATTCCAGGTTCTGCTGGACAACGAGCGTCAAGATGATTTGGCTCGGATGTATAGACTTCTGTCTCGCATCAAAGAGGGTCTGGATCCTCTCCGGACTAAGTTTGAAGCTCATGTGAGGAAGGCTGGCTTGGCCGCCGTTGAGAAGGTGGCCGCCGACGGAGAGACATCGTTCGAGCCTAAGATGTACGTGGACGCATTGTTACAGGTACATACCAGGTATCAAAGCTTGGTCAGCGAGGCATTCAACGGCGAGTCCGAGTTTGTTCGTTCTCTGGATAATGCCTGCCGCGAGTTTGTCAACCGCAACAAGATTTGCAGGTCCGGATCGACAAAGACCCCCGAACTGCTCGCGCGCTATACCGATTCGTTATTGAAGAAGGGTTCCAAAGCTGCAGAGGAGTCTGAGTTGGAAGAGATGTTGGTGCAAATTATGACTGTCTTCAAGTACATCGAGGACAAGGATGTTTTCCAGAAGTTCTACTCCAAGATGCTCGCTAAACGTCTGGTACATGTCAGCTCCGTGTCCGACGATGCAGAAACCAGCATGATCAGCAAGCTCAAGGAGGCGTGCGGTTTTGAATACACGAACAAGCTGCAGCGCATGTTCCAAGACATTCAGATCTCGAAGGACCTGAACGCCAGCTACCGGGACTGGCAAGAGAAGGTACTCGATGAAGATGATCGGCGGAAGCTGGTCGACTCTCATTTCCAGATCCTGGGTACCGGATTCTGGCCTCTCAATGCGCCTACCACCGATTTCCTTGCACCACCCGAAATCGTCAAGACATCTGAACGATTCCAGAGCTTCTACTTTGACAAGCACAGTGGCAGAAAGCTGACATGGCTTTGGCAGCTATGCAAGGGTGAAATCAAGGCCAACTACATCAAGAACACCAAAGTACCCTACACGTTCCAGGTATCCACATTCCAAATGGGCATACTTCTACTCTTCAATGAGCACGACACCTTAAGCTACGAGGATATTCAAAAAGCCACTTCCCTTTCGCCTGAAATTCTTGATCCCAACCTCAGCATTTTCCTTAAGGCTAAAGTTCTGATTATCAATTCCGAAGGATCCAAGCCGGAGCCTGGAACGTCTTTCACTCTGAACTACAATTTCAAGAACAAGAAGATCAAAGTTAACCTCAACATTCAAATCAAGTCGGAGCAGAAGGTCGAGTCGGATGACACACACAAGACAATTGAGGAGGATCGTAAGCTCTTACTTCAGGTATGTTCCTCGTCCTACCCCCTGAATTTGTACCCCGCCTAATGCTGTTCTAGTCTGCGATTGTCCGTATCATGAAGTCTCGCAAGAAGATGAAGCACGTACAATTGGTTCAAGAAGTGATCCAACAAGTCAAATCTCGCTTCCCTCCCAAGGTCCCCGACATCAAGAAGAATATCGAGGCTCTGATGGAGAAGGACTATATCGAGCGCTTGGATGGGGACGAGATTGCTTACATTGCATAAAGCTGGTGCCGCCATCACATTTACATCGCCTTATTATCCATTACCTCAGCGCAACTCTCTCTCATACTCCCCGTGTGTTCTGTTAGCCCGGTATCGCTCCATCCCCCACATTTTGATTTGATTTAGGCCAGGTTTCATCGACCCATGAAGGAAGGGGTATTCTGTAGTTCTCTCATAGCGCTGCTACCACAAATGATAACCCAGATTATGCTTCTAGTGGAACGCTCTTTGTTCAAGATTTACCCTAGTTATCATTCATATTCTCCTGCAGGATGTGCATTGCGACCCACAATGGGCCGATGTGATTGCCTCCAGATGTTGCAACCTGCCCGAGCTGGAGATCCCCGGTTCAGACGCTCTGTAGGTTACAGTAGCATCTTGTGAGAGATGACCAGCCACGAACAGTATTCAAGCCGTCAGGTGTCAATTAACCTCTCTCGCGTCTCCTGGCCTTCCCATTGGTGAACAGTACAGTACAAGCAATTACCACTCTTCTTTCTCTCTATCAGTCACTGCATCCTCGTCGTCGGAGAGAGCAATCGAACACGAAACCATCAACACCAGGCTGGAACGATCCAACGTTGGTGGGACCTGAAAGATGAAGCCATTTGGTAGATCGAGCGAATTGCTGCATGAAGCGACGGTCCGATTAGTCGGCACGTCATGGATGGTCCTGGTCTCCCCAGCTCGGGTGGATCCTTGGGCGAATACAGATCTGTTCTCGACTGTCTTTGAGTTGCTGCAGCTGGGTGTGACTGATACCAACGTTGGTGAGAACTGAAAGGTGAAGGAAGCATTCTAGTGGATTTGAATGAGTTTTGGATGAATTGACGGCCCAACTGGTCGGCACAGCATGGATTGTCCCGGCCTCCCATCCCGGGTCTCATCTCAGGTCTCATATCAGGTGCATCATTTGGAGAATCTAGAACGGTTGTCGACTGTCCTTGAGTTGCAGCAGCTGAGTGGGGCTTTTCTTTTCCTGTACGTGCTAACTTATCAGTTGGCTATATCTCATGAACTAACCAAAGACCGTATTGACAGACCACGATAATCCTAGCGCCCTGCATCCAAAACACATCACCATGCGCATCTTTGCAGCGAGAGTGAAAATTCTGTCGCATGAAGCTGTAGTATGAGGCTTGGTGATGTTGCAACCTGGATGCCTATCTTTATCTAAAGTCTGGGATTTTTTCCGCAGCTTTTCCCGATATAGAAGCCAACGAGATCCAGCCTCCACCGCCTGAAATCTTGTGCAACCTCAACACCGATAAGGCTGAGCGGCTTTCGGTATGACAGACGCAGTTAACAGCCCCAAGATCTTGATGTGGCCAATGACTCAATGCAAATCCAGGTGTAGGAATAGTTATATGCAGTCAGCACGATCTTCGAAGCCATGCGACAACACGAGGTTCATCCCAAACACAGCATTTTCTCTCCTGAAACCGTTCGCTATCATCCCAGTGCACAACTGAAATGCCTCATGGCAAGATGGAATTGCTTTTCTTCCTGTGGCTTGTCCAAACGCGATCTGTAACTACATCCAACATATATAAGGCCGACAAAGGAGCTAGACCATAGACCTCGCTCGACAAGCTAAACCATGCTTTGTGATATGCAACGGTGAAGAGGAAGAGGAAGATCAGGGACAAGATTCCCAAGCGTCAACAGCATTTTATTTCTACCTACATTCTGAGAGCTTCTCTCTCCTGTCATACAAAATGGGTCGAATCCCTTTTGTGACAAGCCCCTTGGTACGTCTTAATTTCACGAACCGCAAAACTCAAAGACTAACAGCACCCGTTCAAGTCCAAGAGCAGCACGCGGCAGAGTTCAACGTCTGATGGTGAGCTCGGCCTGGACACACACGATGAGATCTTGTTCGAGAACCCTCAGTTCGAACACTATGAGGCTACCTCCAACATCCAGTTGTTTTTCGACTTGTTTTTCGTGGCCAATTTGACCTCCTTTGTGACTGCCCGCGATGTGAACAGCAGTAAGAGTATGTGGCCGACTCCTCCCCTAAACAATATCAGTCTTCGCGGAATGGATTTGCTTAATATTTGTCCAGTGCTGGCGTCCTATGTCGGCTTCATCAGTATCTTGTGGTTCACCTGGTGCCATGTCAGTCTGTACGACGTCCGGTTTGCCACGGACAGCATCTTCGAGCGTGTGGCCCACGCGTGCCATTTCGGCGTGATGATGGGGCTGGCCGTCATCGGCTCCAACTTCCTGAGGCAGGACGCCAGGGGCCCCATGCAGCAGCTGTCGCTGATCCTCATGGTGAGCCGCTTGGTACTCGCATGCCAGTACGGCATGACGCTGTACTTCACGTAGCATTACCGCAAGACTCGCGTGCCATTGTTGATCATTTTGGTCTCGCTGCTGGCCGCTGCAGCTGTTTTCTTGGTATATCGTTTGTGTTTCAATTGCGCACTAGATGGGATGCTTATATCGCGTGGTATTGCGTTTCCGTGACCGAGGTGGGTATCAACGTGGCCGTGGCCGCGGTTTGGCCGGCGCTCTCGCTTGAGAAGACCCATCTCGTGGAGAGAATGACCTGCTTGACTTTGATTATCGTATGTATAACTCTCCAGGCGTATTCATCTAAGATACTAAACCACTTTTTGATAGCTGGGCGAGGGTATCATTCTTCTGACCAAGTTTGTCAGCATGATCGGGAAGCTGGACCGCGGTTCTTCCCCCAGGACATTGGAATTCTCATATCATCCGTGCTGATTATTGTAAGAGTACCTGCCCCTTGTCAAGCTAGAAAGAAAGATTTCTAACCAGGACTTCCTCTCTATCACAGTACCTGACTTACCAACTGTACTTCGACAACATCAGCAGCGTCGAGGCACTGGGTCCGATCAGCCAGCACCTGTGGGCTATGCTCCACTTCCCCTTCCACGTCTGCCTCTGTCTCATGATGGAAGGGATCAACCAAATCTTCATCTGGGCACACCTCTGGGCCGGGATCAGCCAGCTTTCAATCCCCTGATGAGCGGGATCAACAGCAATGCCCCGGTCGACGAACTCAGGGACATGCTCGGGGAGGCGTTGGACGACGTCCTGAACCGCTTCACCACCTACATGGATCAATTTCACACCATCGAAAGCGCCTACAACGCGACCATCGCGCTGCCCCCTAACGCGACGGGGACGGAGTTCATCGAGAAGGCGTGGCCGGCCATCATGGAGACGGTGACCATCATCGTGCACAACTTCGGGAGGAATATCCCCAAGGAAGTGGCGGCCAAGGCGAATCTCACGTTCCAGGAGGCGACAGACGCGGTCATGAAGGTCTTTGATCTTACTTTTGGTATGTACATCGTCCTCCATCATCTTTGTTTCTCTTTAGACTTGTCACATCATTCCGATCCTTCGTGTCGATCGACCTGAGAGGTTCAAGTACCGTCTAACATCTTCACTCACCTCCAGGATACTTCTGCATCTGCACGGGTCTCTTCTTGATCTTCACCATGGTCTTCGCAATCCTATCGCTTCCCCGTGATCCTCATCATTTCCGCATGTGCCGCGTCAGCACGGGGACCATCGCGCTCGTGGGGCTGGGCCTGGCGCTGCTCAGTCTTATGAACATCTCCGGAAAGAGCCAGGCAGTAGGCCAATCGCCGTGGGTACTTCCAGCGCTGGCGCTGATCATGCTCTTCTGTGAGTTTTCCTTATTCTTCTCTCTTTCTATCTTCTATTCTCACTGACTTGTTGTTACCTCTAGTGCTCGCGTTGCATCATTTTGCCCAAGGAGGCTATATCGCTTCTATACGGCACCACTGACATAATACCTAATATAAAGACTGTACTATAGATGCTTGCTTTTGGTTTCTCAAGGAAAAGCGATCGTTCATGGTTTTTATCTTCCATTCCGAGTGCCAATGCTATCCTAGACACTAGCGTAAAGAAGGAAAGGATTGAGCATAGTATGTTTTGATATTGATTTATCGAGTCGACATAGAGGACATAGAGAAGTAATAATGACGTTGATAGTGCCACTGCACATCTCTCTATTTTTCCATAAGCTACCAAGAGATATTATATTAACGGCAGAGTATGACCACTAGCACAAAGTACGGAGTACAAAGTAAGTTAATCGCAATAGTGGTCTGGTCACCTGACCCAGGGAAGTCTGTGCTCGACCTGCCAGGAAGAATGAGGTCACCTGTCAAGATCACGTGGGCAGAGCCTCCTTTCCCGTCCCTTGAGTTCTGTATCGATCCTCTCCCCAGAACCACCTCCCCGCCCCCAACAATCTCCTCACTCCCTTTTACCCCCCTGAGATATCTCATGCTTCACCTTCGCTCGGTGCGATATCAACTCCATCATCCTGATCACGTATAGGGACTTAACGATTCGCTCTTTGCTGTTCTCGCCGCTGGTCCTGCCGTTCCTGTGTTCTCATAGGACTCCAGGTTTGGATCTTGGATTGGGTACGTACGTGTGGCTAGGCCGCAAGAGCTTTTGATACCTTTGTTGTCGTCCGTCAATCAAGGAATCATTTTCTTCTTGCCGTTCTCGCTGCTTGGCGTGCCATTCCTGTGTTTTCATAGGACTCTCCAACTTCTTCCCTGGAGTGAGCATGTGCTTGTGGCCAGGCCGCAGGAGCTTTCGGTCGGTCTCTTTACTGTTGTCCTCTCACTTCTATCCCTGATCTCTCATTCGTCGGAGCCAGGGCTGCTCATCGCTTTTCCAAAGCCCGGGTGGGAGGGCTACTCGATCATTCGAGGGAATCTCTAAAACCTAAGGAACTTTAGAGGTTATCCAATGTCGCCTGTATCGCAAGAGTCGCACTGGGCTTTGTCCAAGAAAGTTGTCGTTTCTGTACCGGGCACGAAACATTCTTGCGATGCCAGGTGTCGCATTGCCTACTCCAACGACCCCGAGCGAGGATCTATCTCTCTTAGTATCAAGGCAGCCCTTGCTAACTCCACTGACAGATCGGATTCACTAACATTGAATATCTGCCCCAAAGCGATCCAGAACTCTTCGCTAGTTAAGAGAAGCAAACCTAATCTGTGCCCATCGGAATTGTCCTCGAAGATACGACAAACTATAAGCGGTGCTACGGATGTTTCAACGCTCAGTGTACATTTAGCTAGGCCTGGGGTTGTTCTTTGTCCATCTTGGGCAAAGTCTCTTAGTTCTTCCGATCTAGAAGACTCAAATTTCATTGCATTCGCCCATATTTGCCAATCAAAATCTCTACGCCTACACTTTGCCCTGGTACAATTTCAGGGGGGAGAATTTGAGACGTTGAGAAAATTTTGCTCTAGAATACAAACCCTTCAGCCAGAGTCTTTCGACCACCATCGACATGGTGTAGTCGAGAGAGATCCAAGTATATTCAAGCTTTCTCCACCGCCATATGATGAGGAACATGTATCAACACCGGCTGAGCAAGCGAGTCCACCCCAATACAATGACCAACCCGAATTGAAGCCGGCCATTGGCAAACGGGACAGAGGTATGTCTTATCTCCACAGTTACTGGAGATTTCAGCTTTCATAGCCTGTTGATGGTCTCTAGGGTGGTCTCTGTCACCCGAAGAAAGTTGCAAAAGGCCGCTTCTTACACAACCAGACTGGCTTGGAGCACCTACCGAAGTCAATACCCCAAGTACTTGCTCTCCGTCACCATCCTCAAACTCGATCCGTCCAACCCACTTTATACATGCTTCATCACCCGATGACGTGGATCATCTTTCACTTAGATATCTTGAGCAGAAGCTTAGCCGACTTCCCGAAGATCAGGTTCGCAAGCTATTGATTCGCTCCGGACACCATCGTCTACTGGGCTTGTCAGGGGATGTAGACGGTGCCCTACCATCAAAGTCCGGGGTATCTGGCCCTCCTGGCGTCCATCTGATCGATCCTTGCATCAAAAGATATATTGATGAGGAAATTCACAACAGTCTCAAATTACAGCAGGATATTGTACGCGATAGCATCAAATCAGAACTTGATGATATCGTTCAAGACAGCATCAGATCAGAACTGCCTGGTCTTGTCGACCATTTTCGCGAGGAGATTGCTGACGAACACAAAATAAAAGTGTGCGAGTTAGGCGAGGTGGTCCAGGACAGTATATGCGAGATACAAACTGTAACCAATGATGGTTCAGAGGTAATAGGGGACGTTACGACAACGCATATCGATGAACTAGACAAGAAGGCCGTCGAGGCGAAGAAAGCATTGAAGGAGATGGCTTTCAAATTGGCTGCTTCTCTCAGGGCCTCGTTTGATGATTTGCAAGGCTCTAGGCATGAGGAACAGGGCACACACGCGAGATGCCGCTCTGTTTGAATCCTGGATTTGGGTCTTCTTACTCGATAGTTTGTGGTGTATCTAAGACTCCGTAGATTTCTATAATGAGATCAGATAAGTGGACAGTATTGAACTGCTAGGCATAGATGGCATACCCCCGCCTACGGAACGCGGCACCCAGTTGGGTTCTGTGGGAGTCCGCGATGATTGATCCACCATGGCGGCCCGGCACCTTGTTTGTTGAGTCTTCTGACACCACGGACACCGCTGGGAGGCGAGATCCTGGCCTGCAGGAGTGGTGTGGGCATTTGCTCGCGATTCCGGGGATTATCGAATCCTCCGCAATGACAAGATACGAGTACTCATATGATGCATTTCTGTTTTCTGTCGGTGTCTGTCCAGAGATTCCCCCTCCCCCCCCCCAGGAAGTGAGCTTCATCAACGACCAGCAACCTTCATTCACTTTCAATCTGTCTATTCATCTTCAACTCCAAGGGAGGGGACTGATCTCAACATGAAGAACACAATGATCAATCCAAAAACTCCATCGCCCTCCAGTTCTTGATATACAACCTTGTCACATCCTCACTAACCGGGCCCATATCTGCCAGAGTCTTCGAATGCTCGCGACATCTCCTGGTCTCCAACAAGAGCCCACCGCAAGACATGCGCAGAAAGTTCTCATCCAAGAAATCAACCAACATGATGGCGGGATTCTCCCGCTCTGACCCTGCATGTCGACTATACTCCCGAACGCGCTGCACCCACTCTGAGAATGGAATTATGTTTGTCTGTGGTAGGTGCAGCTCATCTGCAAGCACAGGCATTATATCTTCCCACCTCTGGCGGATCGGGTTCTCAATATGGTAGACCGGATACGGTGGGTCGTCGCGGCAAAGCAAGTCGACGGTTGCACCGGCTACGAAATCGACGAGCGTCCATGACAGAAGGCCTTCGAAGCGAGGGAGGGCGCCGAGTGTCTGTGATGATTTGATCACGAAGGAGAAATGCTCACGGGGGTTCCAGTATCCGCTCTCACTGGAGCCTGCGATTTGCCCTGGACGCACCGTCATGGCATGGAATTTGTCTGGGTGAAGCCTTAGCGTCGACTCAAGCATCAGCTCGCAAATGTACTTTGCGTCTCCGTACCCGGTGGGGAGAACAGATTCGATTCCCATCATCGCTTCCGGAACCCGAGGTCTTCCTGTATGCAGAGGATAATGACCGACTGTTGCAATGGAGGAGATGAACTGAAATGTGACTATGTTACAGCCATGGCCCACAACAGCGGACGCAAAGTCTAACAGATTGCGCATGATATAAAGTTGTGACTCGAATCGATCTAACGGCCATTTCGCATTCATGAGCCAGGCGTTGTGAATAATGTGCGTGGTCGTTGAGACAAGGGATTCGTACTGTGGACTCGACAGCCCGAGTTGCGGTCTTGCAAGATCAGCATCCATGATGGTGAGTTTGTCGATCGCATCGTCAGGAAGCCAGATGCCTTTCTGGCTCAGAGACTGAAGCTATCGTTGATCAGCGTCGAGCCGACTCCGTCGATTCAGACAGATGATCTTCGTCACACCAGGACTGCTGGCAAGCTTTTGGACCACATGGCTTGCCAAGCTCCCTGTTGCCCCTGTGAGAACAATACATTTTCTATCCCTATTTGTGGGTCCGACCTTCACCGAAGGAGCCTTCCATCCGGCCGTCATCTTACGCAGGTATCTGTCAATAACTGTTTGTCGCGCCGCACAGTCAGTCGATAGGCTCTCGATTGGATGTGACTGTGGGAGTCGCTCGTACCTCCCGCCTGAAGCAAAGGCAATAATCAGCTTCTCCAGTCTGTTCTCTGGCCGCGCACCATCAGTCCAGTCGACGTGTCCGTATCCAGCCGAGTGCAGCTCAGTTTCCCACTGCGACTCGTGCGTCACAGCATGTGTGCGTTCATCGTCAACATACCACCAGCCCTCAAACAGCCCGAATGTGACATCGACCCAATACATGATACTTGTCATTTCGAGCATCATAAGGAGACCGTCAGATCGTAGGGCCTTGCGGGTATTACTTGCAGACGCCCTGAGACTGTGCGTGGCATGCACAGCGTTACTGGCGATAATGATGTGTTGCGTGCCGAGAAGATCGTCGGCCGGAGCCTGTTCAATACCATGTGTCCTGAATTTCATGAAGGGATACTGCTTGCCAAATCTCTTGCGAGCGGCAGCGACAAAGGATGGAGCGAGATCCGTGAAGGTGTACTCGACTGAAATGTTCAACTCCGCGAGCAGAGGAACGAGCCATCTAGTCGTTCCTCCTGTACCAGCCCCCATCTCCAAGATCTTGATGACGCCCTGAGCCATGTCGACTTTAGAAACGAGTCGGCTAATGAATTCCTCCATTTGTCGGTAGAATAGCCTATTGAGCGGCCATTCCGCATACATGTTGGAGACGAGGTCACGCCCTTTTTGGAGTTCCGAAGATCAACTTGATCCCATCTGTCTGGCCTCTGAGGACCTCGGCCAGCTGAGATCCAGTGTATAAGGTGAGTTCATCAGCCATACTCTGGTCAGGGAAGCGAGTAGCAAGTTCTGCGAGGATCTTTTTGCTCGAGCAAGGAGGGAGGACTGCCGTGCGAGTGATGCAATCGCCGTCGATATTTACAAGCCCTGCTCCCTCGTCGAGCATTCTATACAGGTGGTCAACTAGTCGGGCATGTTCTCTTGCGTGTTCAATGCGGACAAATTTGTCACCAGGATTGGCATTGCGAATGTGCTGTCCCAACTTATCGAACGCCTCGAGGACGAGCGACACACACATTTAATCTTGAAGGGGCAGCACCGTCTCAAAGTAATTGCCCTGCTTGTAATCAACAATATGGTCGTCGGTATTGCTCTTGACCTCATTGAAAGCCTCTATCACAGAGCAAAAGGAAAGGTTCAGTCCGGTGTTCTGGACAGACTTTGCTGGCTCAGCCACCTCAGATGCGGTACTCGGCGTCGTGTAGCCGCTGGGCTTTGTGTCGCTTTCCTCACTCTCAGAAGTGCTTTGATCACTGCTTTCTGTTGCAGTAACAACGCCGCCACCTATCACAGTTTCCACACACTTCATCAAGCTGGGAATGTCGATGACATCCATGAGCTCATTTTCCAGAATCGTGATCTGGAATGCGGCTTCAATCTCATGTGCCAACTCCATTCCCATGAGAGAATCAATTCCTAAGTCTGCGAGGTTACTGTCATCTTTGATCTCCTTCAACTCGAGACCGGAGAGTTCCGCAAGGATAGTCTTCACCTTTGGTGCAGTCTCTAACTCGCCTGGTGCCTGCACTTTGATGCTTGCTGAAGGACTGGCTCTCTGTACCTGTGCTTGGGGAACTGCTAAAACCTTTTTCTCTGCATCGGTATCACCATGAAAAGGCTCAGAGGTGGAAGCTTCCGCAACCTTCTGGAAGTCTCCCATGGTAAGACGCGATAGTAACCTGCTTATCGAAGCTTTCGGTACTCTCACATAGCTGATACGCAGCTTGGCCTCAATCAAAGAACCATTTGTCGGATTGAATATAAAGACATCTGTTAGAAACGCCTTGGGTGAGGGTCGATGATGTGTCGCCAGAACATGGTACGAATCAGGCCGCGAATCTTGCTGGTGAAATCTCGGAGAGCGAATCCACTGCTCGACACCATTTGCGATATACATATCTGACATGGTGCGGTCAACCATACAGTTGACATAGATGCCTCCAACCTGACAGAAGCTGTCGGCCAGATGCCCGTCGAGCCATGATTCCGGATTATACTGCTTGGCTACTAAACCTGCCGATTGGCTTCCCTTGCTCACCAGCTTCTACAGCCCGCGATACTCCTCTCCGTAGTGCACGATCTCGGCGAAGATTTTGTAGATGTTTCTACTCTGCAGGACTTCGTCTGGATCGTTACTGCGCAGGATATCAAGACACTGTTCGTGACTGAAATGGCGTTCCAGGCGCGCAAACTCAGATTTCAGTGCGAGATCGTCGACGGACTGAAAGACGATCTGATCGGTAGTATGGACTGTGCGCGGGGCTTCGTTCTGAAGGTCATTGCTGAAAACCTGAAAGTTCCAAGTTGTTGCTGCGCTACCTTCCGTAACCGCCTCGACCCATACTGCCTGCCCCAGGTTGATGCAGAGTGGCGAGGCGTTCTCGACGTTGTACAGCCTGGGCTCTAGCTTGGATGATGAGAAAGCTGGCTTGATGCTGCGTACTGCTTCAATGACTATATCAAGCTGAATAGTGGCAGGGCAGATGGGCGCTGTCTGAGCAATGACGTGTCCACGAAGGAGTCTTTCGTACTCGGCGGCCAGCGTATTGATACGGAATCTCGCTTGCCGCTCGGCCTTGTCTTCGTACCCGACGAACTTGAAAAGCTTCTCCGGCAGGTCCTGCTCCATGATCTTTGGTCTCAAGTCTTTTTCCGAAGTAATTCTTGGGGGCGTCTTGAGTTCAATCCAATGCTTTGAACGCTCAAACTGGTAGGGCGGCAATAGAAGGATTGGGTGCCCCTTTGTTTGACTCGACTGGTGAGCCCAGAATTGCACACCCAGGCCTGCCTTCCACAGGCTCAGTGTTGCATCCACCAAGTTGTTCCACCCATTGTCGCAAGTGATGTTGATAGATTGAAAGTGCGAGCTTTTGGGACTGCCGAGGGCTCGGCTAGCCATGTTGGTAACGGTTGAGGCGGACCCAGCTTCCAGGAAGACACAGAATGGATACTTGCAGGATAACCTCTTTATTGCTTGGTGGAAGAATACGGGTGAGCGGATATGTTGAGCAACAAACTGAGGGGTAAGCTTCTCGTCGGCAGCTGACTCCGTGGCCCTCTCGATGTATAATGGGATCTTTGAATGCGATCTCTTGGGCACTTTGCTCAAGTCGCCCAAGAAGAGGATCAAGGAGAGAACAGTGAAAAGAGTTTGTCACGTTCAACCGCTTATGTTTCATGGACGAAAAGGCAGACAAGGAAAGTGTCTCAATGACTGCTTGCACCGCCGGAGTTGCACCAGCCAGCGTATAGCTCCGAGGCCCGTTATAGCAAGCAATGGTGGCTGACTCGATACCGGCACAGTGGGCCTTGGACTTCACGAGTAGCGCTTCCACTTCATGAAGATCGGCCTCCACAGCAACCATAGCACCCTTGTCAGGACCCCAAAAGTCTCTAACAACGGTAGCACGAGCCACGATCATACGCATGGTGTCTTCAAGCGATAAGGCACTTGCCACGCATAGAGCCGTAAGCTCGCCGAAGCTATGGCCTACGACTGCCGCTGGCTGGATTCCAGAATCTATCCAGCTGTGCGCTGAGGCATATTGCAAGGAAAAGAGCATTACTTGCAACTTGACGGGGTCATCAATCGAAGCACGGCTGAATATGTCCGGGAAGATGCTACCCACACCCATGGCCCGAGCCACGGCATCAACCGTGTTAAGATGCTTTCGAAACACTGCAACATGCTCATACACCAGCCGATCAAGTCCGATGAACTTAGACACTTGCCCACCAAAGCATAGCACCACAGGAAGAGGACTCGGAAGAGAAACGGACGTGATGTTGAAGTTACCATTCTCGTATGCTTGAAGATCCTTGTTCAATTTGTCAATAGACTTTACACTGAACATCAGCGTTCGATTAAGATGCCAGTTGCTTTGACGGGCCGAATTAAAGGCAATATAAGACAGTTTCGGCTCAGAGAGGTCACGATTCAAATAGTCGCGAAGGCCCTTCGAGTACCATCGTATGCTATAATCGTCAAAGCCCAGTGATTCGAAACGGATACCTCATACTGTCATGCACCGTCGTTCCAATTGCTCTCCTCGCTTGGGCTGGGGCTTGGGTGATGATGAGGGACGCATTTGAACCAGAGGCTCCATAATTGTTGATGAGAACAGCTTTGAACCCAACATTCCATTGCTGCAAGCTAGTTGGGATGACAATATTGTCTGTTGACGTCGCTTTGATAGCTGGATTGACGGTGGTGAAACTGGCCTGGGGTGGAATCATGCTCTTCTGAATCATCAGTAGCACTTTGATGATGGAGATGATGCCGGAGGTACACTCCACATGACCTACTAGTCCTTTGACGGAGCTGAGCATCAACGGCTTCTTGCGGATTGATCTCCCTAAGACAGCACGGACACTATCATATTCTGCAGGGTCCCCTACTGCAGTACCTGTGCCGTGGGCCTCAACAACGGAGATTTCTTCCGGTGTGAGACGGGCTCGCTTGGACACGTCTTGAAAAAGATCGGATAATGAGGGGACATTTTAAACAAAGATTGGAGTACAGTCCTGGTTCTGTTGGACAGCTGTTGCTGGGGTCACGCCCATGATTTGATCTCCATCGGCGACCGCCGCGGACAATTTCTTCAGAAAGATTGCTGCAATACCCTCACCCTGCAGTACCCGTCTGCTTCGATATCGAATGGCTTGCATTGTCCAGTGGGACTCAAGAATGAGGCGCCTGCCAGATTCTGAAACCACAGCGGATTGGTCATTACATGCGTGCCACCAGCAAGGGCCGCGGTGCACTCGCCTCCTACAATTGCCTTGCAGGCTTGATGAACCGCAACCGCCGAGGAGGAGCATGCAGTGTCGATGGTGAGATCCGGGCCGGTCCAGCCGAAGAAATGGCTGACTTTTCCAGCAATGAATCCTTGCAGATTTCCCGTCGCGGAGAAAGCATTCGGAGCGTGACAGGCAATGTTGGCTTCATAATCACAAGCACAGACACCTACATAGCAGCCGATCCGCTTGTCAGGACTCGGATTGTGAAAGTAGCCGGATTGTTCTACGGTCTGGTAGGCAATTTGCGGTAGGTGGCGCTGTTGCGGATCCATTGTCGCGCTTTCCCTGGGGCTTTTCTTGAAGAATTTGTGATCAAATTCGTCATGACCATTGATGGAGTTCCCAAACCACTTGCGCTTCTGGCCGACGTCTCGAAAGACAGTTTCGAAACCAAAACGCTCCTTGGGTACTTCCTTGTGCTGAGACTCCCCCGCGCAAAGTAGGTCCCAGAATTCCTTGAGGTTGTCCGCACCGGCGGTTTTGCACGCCATCCCGACAACGGCAATGTCATTGCCGCAATACGTGTACGAGGCAGCCTGCGAGCTCCCAGGCACGGGCGCTTGGATCACCTTTTGACCGACTGTGCGCATGAGAGAGGGTGGGATACAGCGCTCTGTGCCGAAGGAGACAACATGAGCGTCGTCTTCTTGCAGCCGTGATTTGCGGACAGTGTCAACTGCTGCAAACCACTGCCGTGGGTCTATCAAGATTTGCTGAAGAACATGGCGGTGCAGGAACCCTTGGTGGATGAAAGCTCCTCCGGCATTGGATCATGTTGGTATGACCAGTTCTGAGGCGTCCGGAAACTGAAAGCTCGGGTGGGCGTCACAGAAGTCGAGAATAGCTGGAAGAAGACTGCTGTGGGCGTCACTGTGGAATCGCCCGAATAGCCCGACCTCTGCAGCTAGAATGCCCGCTGCTCGACATTGTTCCAGCAGTGGGGAGAGGGTTGAGGCTGCGGTGGTGACCGTTGCACGATCCTCATCGTAGTAGACTGACAAATACGCCTGTTTTAGGTCAGCTAGGGCTTTCAGCGCGAAGGGGGGCGAGGGGTACACTAGCTCTGGAAAGGCTTGGAGTATTTGATGCAGCTCGTTCTCCTTCTTCCCTGAGCTCCAGGCGGCAATCAGCGATCGTGACGGCCCCAAAGACGCGGCATCACATGCGTCGACGACCATGCCAACAAGAAGACCCAGTCGGGCGGCAACGGCAGCGAAGTGGCAGAACTGTTCCTTGTTCCGGGCACTCGAGACCGTGATGGCACTGAGGAGACCGGTACAGAAGCCCAATGTTTCTTGGCCGTGGATTGATGCAGCGAAGAGGTCAACCCGGGGGTCCAGGTCGATGGCGGCATCCTCAACCATATCCGCATATTGAGTCAATTGGAAGACTACAACAAGGGGAATTAGGGCTGAATTCGGCAGAGGGAAAGGTATGGTCAATGGCTGTTGACGTTGGACGGCCTTCTTAAGGTCGTGGAGGTGTTCGAGAGTAGAAGCAGACTCCAGAGCAGGGACGGCAGCCACGATCGTTTGATAGGAATGGGGAAGGCACGTGAGCGTCTCCCAGGCCCAGTGGTGTCTTCCATCAGCTATTATGGTCCTCTGCAGCTGTTGAAAGGCCTTCTCGTCGAAGGACAGGGAAAGGGAGCCGAAGAGCAGAAATGCGGGCTTGGAATCAGACATCTCGATGGCTGTTGTTGAGTCAGGCCACCAATGGCAACGAGGATTGTAGTTGTTGAAATGGTGCGTTGGCATGGGAGTCTAGGGCAGATCCCGGCAAGATGACCAATTTATTGAGCGCAGGCAGCAGGCCGACAGTACATCCAGATGACATTCAGGAATTTCTTCCTGACCCGAGTACCATGGACCCGGATACGATAGTGTGAGATACTCCGAGCTGACCGGTCATGGACGCAACGACATACAGATAATACACGGGCAGTCAGTTACTCCGCCATGAGATACCCCGTCCGAACGAGAGAAAATGTATCTCCCGGAGGAGAGAATACTGTTGACGATCTTGATAAGGCTTCTAGCATACAGCCCTAACCTGGCACCTCCATTTCTCGCAGCGTATACTCGTCTGATATCCCGAAGATTAACCTACAGCCCTACATTCATCAACAGACACGAAAGACAGCGAAATGCCCACCCCACTCCGCCTCGAACCCATCGAGATCGCCATCATCGGCGGAGGGATTGTCGGCCTGCTCCGGCGCGGGATCCAAGTGACCGTCTACGAGCAAGCGCACGGCTTCCGCGAGATCGGCGCGGGGATCGCCTTCACCGCGAACACCATCCAGTGCATGGAGCAGCTGGACCCGGCCATCGTGACTGCGCTGCGGTCGAGCGGATCGGTCGCGACCTCTGCGAGCAACGCGGGGGTGAAGGAGGCCTATGACTACCTGCGCTGGATCGACGGGTACAACCAGCTTGATCCGAATGATCCCGCCTACCAGCGGATGCTGTACCAGATCGATGCCGGATATCGGGGCTTTGAAGGGTGTCGGCGGGACCAGTTCCTGGAGACGTTGGTGAAGGTCGTGCCGCCGGAGGCCATCTGGTGTCGACGACGCTTGCAATGGATTGAGGAACGCGGGCTGGATGAGAAGGTTGGACTGGGGTTTCTAGATGGGACGCGGGTGGAGGTCGATGCCGGTGAGTGCATGTCTTTGTTTTATACATGGCCTGACTGACGGAGATAAGTCATCGGCTGCGACGGCATTAAATCTCGTGTCCGAGAGATTCTCTTCGGGAAAGGCAGCCCCGTCTCATACCCGCACTACACCCACGAGGTGGCCTACCGCACGCTCATCCCGATGGAGGCGGCCATCGCGGCGCTGGGCGAATACAAGGCCCGGAACCAGCACAACCACGTCGGCCCGCGGACCCATCTCATCCACTACCCGGTGGCCAACAATACTCTGATCAACGCCACGGCGTTTGTCATGGATTCTGGGGGCTGGCTCGATGACAAGCAGATGGTGGCGCCGGCCTCGCGCGGGGAGCTGGAGGCAGCATTTGCCGACTGGAGTCCCTGTGTGCGCAACGTGATCCGATTGTTCCCTGAGGGGCTGGAGAAATGGGCGTGCTTTGATTTGTGGGAGTACCCGGCACCGTATTATAGTCGGGGAAAAATCTGCCTGACCGGTGACGCGACGCACGCTTCTACTCCACACCACGGGGCCGGGGCAGGAATGGGGATTGAAGATGCGCTGTGTTTGTCGAGTCTTATGGTGGAGGTGGTGGAGACCATCCGCAAGCAGCCGACGCTCAAGGGGACCGCCTTGGAGACGGCCTTTGAGACGTTTGGTGCTGTCCGCCGCACGCGAACCCAGTGGCTGGTGAACAGCAGCCGCACGGTGCGTGATTTCTATCATCAGATCGAATGGGGCGAGCCGTCCAAATGGGTCAAGGCGGAGACTTGCTCTGAAGAGCTCAAGGACCGGTCTCATAAGATCTGGTATTTCGATTATGAGGCGATGAAGGCGGAGGCCGTTGGGCTGTATAGGGAGAAGATGGGGGTGGACTAGACTTGATGGCGCAGCAACACTGTCGTAATAATGCAGCGAGATTGACCCTGTATGAATGGCTGATGTGCGGCACAAGGATACAACCAACCTTCGGATATACACAATCTTACTTGGCCATCTGCTAACACTTCTTGTCGAGCTGCCGTCGTAGCGAAATCTCATACTTTCTTCTCATCTACTGTGCCCATAAATCCAGCCCTGATGGATCAATCCGACCAAACCACCACAATGCAAGCCATTTCCGTTGACCATGCGTAGATCCATTCGCCTCTAGGCAAGCTTCAAGCTAGCCTTTTCCACCCAACCCTTTGACTTGATTCATTCTGTTGGTCCCCCGCGGCTCCGAGTTGTAGCAACCATCGGGGCGGCGCATCAGGCAGGCGCATCAGGCACATACACGGTGGTTTTGGTGAAGAGCAACTGCCTGCTTGACGATCTCTTCTGCAGCCTTATCAGCTAGCTATACTGCTTTCAAGTATCTCCAGGGAAGACAGAAGTATGTCTACGGTTCTGTAAGACCCTAGCTCGTGTGGCTTTCCCCTCCCACCAAAGCAACCAAACTTCCTTGCCAGGTAGTCAGTCGGAGAGTATCGACCTGGCCATCGAAAGCATTGGCCAAGAGTCAAGGATACTTCGAGAGAGTCCCCTCCTATCCAAACTCTCTCAACCCACCGTAAGACAATGGCTGCGCGCCTCGCAAAGTCAACCTGTAACCACCCGGAGAATAGCACCAACTGGCCAAAACCCCGAAAACGCCGTCTCCGAGCCCTAACTCGGACGCCCCGCACCCAACGGCGGCCTCCGCGCCTGGCTCCAGGTCCTCGGCGGGTTCGCCCTCTTCCTCAACACATGGGGCCTCCTAAACACGTTCGGGGTCTTCCAAATCCACTACGCGAGCACGACGACCGCCAGCGCCAGCGCGATCTCGTGGATCGGGTCGACGCAAGCGACGCTCCTCCTCGTCATCGGGGCGATCACGGGCCCGATCTACGACCGCGGCCACCTCGTGGCGCTGTTAGCATGCGGCACAACCTGCATATTCCTAGGCCACGTCTTCCTCAGCCTCAGCACGCAATACTACCAAATCCTCGTCTCGCAGGGCCTGCTGAATCGGCCTCGGCGCGGGCTGCCTCTTCGTGCCGTGCGTCTCGGTGCTACCTCGCTACTTCAGCAGCCGGCTGGGGCTCGCGACGGGGCTGGCCGTGTCGGGCTCCTCGGTCGGCGGAATCATCTACCCTGGTATGCTGTACCGGCTCCTCCCTCAAGTAGGCTTCGCCTGGGCCGTGCGCATCATCGGCTTCGTGGCGCTGGCCACCCTCGCGCTTCCGCTCGCCGTCATGCGGCAGCGCATCCCCCCGCGCGCCCGCGCGCCCTGGTCGACCGCGCCGCCTGCACGGATCTCCACTACTGCCTCTTCGTGGGGGCGTCGCTGCTGGCGTTCATGGGGCTGTTCGTGCTGCTGTTCTACATCTCCTTCGCGGCGGAGGAGCGGCGCATCGCCACCGAGCACATGGCGTTCTACATCGTGCCCATCCTCAACGCGGCCTCGTGTTTCGGGCGCACCCTCTCCAACGCCCTGGCCGATCGGCTGGGGCCGTTCAATCTGATCGCCCCATGCTGTCTGGTCGTGGCGGGGTGTCTGTTTGCCATGGTGGGGGTGAGGACGCTGGGCGGGTTGGTGGGCGTCGCGCTCGTGGCGGGGTTCTTTAGCGGGGCGTTGATCGGATTGCCGCCGTTGTGTTTTGTGGGGTTGACGGCGGATCAATCTATGATTGGGACGCGGATGGGCATGGGGTTTGGGATTATTGGGCTCGGGGTGCTGGC